GGGCAGGTCCAATAGGGTTCGATAACTTCAGGTCCAAGTCCAAGTCCCATATGTTTTTGGGGTATGGAGGGACACGACCTGACCTATTGCCACGCCTAAAACTATCCTCTATCGGGAGCATACTTTATTTTTACTCCCTCAATTATATGACCTGTTGGGAGGATTCTTTTCAATTTGAATTTTGGTGACCACCTTTATCACCATATGATTTTTTTAAAAAAAAATTGAAATTTAATTTTTCTAAGACTGAAATCTCACTATCTAAAAATTGGATAGTCTCCATTCAATCTTAAGATATTAGGATTTTTTAAGTGATTAAAAGGTGTAATTAGGAAATTTTATATTGATGTAATTTATGTGCTAAATTGGTTATATCTCCAAAATTGGGAATACTACAACTAATCCTATGTATGGGTTTGGCATGTCCGAAGTGTTTTTTTAGACAGTTTTAAGGTAAGGGTTTACTTTTTTTCATAGCCTAGGCAATATAGAAACCATATCTTATCATAATTTGGCAACATACCGGTAATTTAATTTAGAAAAATTATCAAAATATATCTCATTTATTTAACACTTAACCTATTTTTAACTATTCTAACTTATGGGCATGTGTATTTTGATTGAATCCTTGAAAAAATTCAGATGATCCCTAGAGAAAATTCCCCATTAAAGATTCTATTTTCTAGCCACCTAAGAAGAAATCCGTAATAGAGACATTTGATAGATTAGTAAGCTTGACAAACATGCATTTACCAAAGTAATCCTGCCTCCCAGCAAGAGGTATTTATACTTTCACAAATCTAGTTTAACTTGTATCATTTGGATCACTTTAACCCAAACAGCCAACGAAAGTCGGACATCTGAAATTGATAAACTCAAATACATGATTGGAAAAACTTCCACTTTTTATACCAACACTTCAGCAATCTCAAGGATCAAAAAGTCATTACAATTTATACCAATCACTACATAGTTAACCTTAAGGCTCAAAGCCACTCCACAACATTTCAAAAAAGTAGTTATATTTTCAATCTGATCACATTTGGCTTCACAAAAAAGCAAAGTATCATCTGAATATTGTAAATGCGAAATACAATGTCCATCATTAGGCATTTGAAAGCCCAAGAAATTCTTTTTAGATTCAACATTACGTACAAAAAGGCTGAAGCACTCTGCATAAATGTTGAACAGAAAAGGGGACAGATGATCACCTTGACGAAAACCCCGAGAAGCACTAAAGAAGCTAGTTGGGCTCCCTATGTACAAAATGGAAAAATGTACAGAAGATAAACACCCATAAATCCAGTTTCTTCTTTTCTTGCCAAAGCCCATATTCTTCATAATTTCTAAAAGAATGCTTCATTTACCCTATCATAGGCTTTTTCCATATCCAATTTAATCACAATCTCAACATTACTACTCAAAATTCTCAAATGAATGCACTCTTGTGCAACCATGACACTATCAGTTATCAATCTATCCTTGATGAAAGCTGACTAAAGACTTGTGATAATAATCGGTAAAACCACTTTAAGCCTTTTCGCAAGAACCTTAGCCACAATTTTATATAGACTCGAGAGAAGTCTAATGGGCCTCACTAAGGTTAGCAATGACAAACTTCTTAATAATAAAGGCTATAAAAGTGGATTTGACCCCTATAAAAATGTCATCTCTCTGAAGGAACCCTCGAACTATCTCCAACAACTCACCACTTACCAAACTCCAAAACTTATGGAAAAAGAAGAGTGGAAAACTGTCAGGGCTAGGTGCCTAGACACCTCCTTCTCCTTAAGCCATCTAGCATTGAACCTAAACAGTTTATGTCTTACAGGAACAACTTTAAAGCAAAGTAAATAGGAGTATGATCAGAGGAGAGCTTGGGTAAGGCTTTAACCAAAGCAAGAGGGAAGAAATCAGACTATTCCTTTGAGACAAAAATCTGTCAAGTTTAGACATGGACAAATTTGAAGTACTCTCATTTGTCCATATAAAAACAGTGCTTAAAATTGGTAGATCTAATAAAGCATGGGACTCAATAAACCTATTAAACAGGTGCATAGCAGACTTAATAGGTCCACCATAGCTACTTTCATTTGGCCATCTGATAAAATTAAAATCCCCCCAAATAAATCTCATTAATAAAGATTTCTTTTTGAGCTAAAACTTGGGACAATAAACATTCATTAATCCCCTACGAAAGTCAGAATCAAGCCCCACAAAACCAACCACCAATAAGTTTTCTTTTTTAACAAAGCAAAAATACTACAATACTGTAGGATCTCACAAAATCCACAACCCCCTAGAAGCACCCACAGAGTAAATCCTCAAGAAATCTACTGACCCAGGTCCCCAAACTTCTCTAGCACCAGATAAACTGGGGCTCGGAAGTTTAGTTTCCTCCAAAATAAGTATAGCATACTTAAATTTAGAAACCAAAAAGATGACGTCTTTCTTGCATTTGAGGTCGCCCAAACCTCACACACTTCAGGATATAATAATCATGAGAAGGGGTTAGTAGAGGAGGAACATGGACCATCCCTGCTTGCACCGAAGTAGATATCTTCCAAGAACATAACTTCCTCCATGGCCTCGTCCAAAATCTCTTCCCCATCCGAAGAGTGAGAAGAAGATGAGAGTCCCGAGCTCACCTCTATTACCTATTCACCTCTATAACCTATTCATCTGTCCCGGCGCTACTGTCTCTACATCTGGAATAGTAGAGTTAAGAGTTGTGGGTTACGACCAAATGGTTTGCAGCAACCAGATGAAGCATAAGAGCCTTGTCCTCTTTCCATAAAACATTTAGGGGGTTGGAAACATCAACTTCCACCAAAGCAAGGTCAGGGTTTTGAGCTATAGCCCCATCTATAACATTAGATTTAACACGATGTACCATCGTTTCAGGAACAAATTCCCTTTCCTCCAATTTCAGATGAGCACCTCACTCGTCAATCACTACTATAGTCAATGGGTTAATCATCAGAGAATCAAAGGATGGCCTAGGCGAAGAACGAGGCTTCCTGGCAGCATGACGATGAAACAATGGATACATATTACCCAATGAAAGCAACACCAGATAGAGAGCTAAAGATGAACAATATCTATGACCTGTAACAGCCACAGCAGCAAAGAAGACGAACCAACTAAAATTGCT